TTACCAAGAATTTATATTGGTTCATTAAAATAATATAAGCTATTGATGAGCTAACTATACATTATTCTTTGTATCCCAGATTCCAGGAACTTGAAGAAAATGAGTGAGGGTCACATTTTGCAACTTGTAGTAATATTTTAGGTAATTTATCAGCTAGTCTGTAAACTACAGGGAAGAAAATAACAACAGCAATAACAACAAAAAACCAAAATGCTTTTATATAATTAATCCCAGGCTTGAGTGGGGGCGGGTATGACTGAAGTCTCATACTCAAGTCTCTCTGGGCCTGATAAATGTTGCATATCTCACATTCTTAAGACTGTTCTGAGAAACTTTTTTTTCTCAATTCATGCTTACATATACATAAACACACAGAAAGAAGCAGATCTTAGAGCTTTCACTCTAAAACTCTAGCCATGTGCTAGTTGCTATAATACAAAACTCACTAGTTTAAAGGATTGGCAGTAACAGGACTCTGCCAGGGAAGGGAGGGGGAACACATAACATCAATAAGGGTATCTGATTTCAAACCAGGCGAAGTGGGGACCACAGAGAGGCCCAAACTTTACCTGTATGATGACCACTTGTATACCTAATCCTGAATTGTACCCCACATGTTTAAAATAAAAAAATAAATTTCAAAAGCTCACTAGTTTTTGGTTTTTTTTAAGTTGGATCTAACTTATGTTTCTAGCAGATGGAACTTAAGATTGCCAGCTCAGATGGCCAAATATTTCTATGAATATGGGAAAGACTTAAGATTTTTATTTGCCTATTTCTAAGTTATTTATTAATTTATTTTTCTTCTCATAATGAGTTCTCTCTCCTAAATTTGCATTTGCAAAGGAATAGCACTTAGGTAAGATGAGGTAGACAATTTACACCTCAAAGGCACAGAGCTTAGACTTCAGACTTAAATATCATCATTTACTGTAAAAAATAGGAGTATAGATGAATGCCAAATTAAAACAAAATGCCCAGGAAAAGTACCTAAAATAAAGATAAGGCTTGCTATGCAGATTTAAGCCCGGCCTCTTTATGTCTTTCTTTTTTTAATTTCTTATTTAAAGATGTGGGGTATAATTCAGTCAGTGTTAGGTACACAAATGTTCATTATGCCGGTAACCTCGTTGATGAGGCGTACCCACCCCCGGCAATTTCCCTCAACTGCCAATCCCACCCCCCAAGCCTTTTTCATTGAAAGAGTCTCTAGTGATTTTTGTCCTTCTCTCCCTGGTGCTGAGAGGGAGACACACTTATAAATGGAAATTTCCTTTATAGATGTGAATTTTTCTTACAAAAGAGTCTCAAAATAACTGAGTGTCAGGAGGGTATATTGTGAAAACTAATTCAGCTAGATAAAGGAGGTTTTCCAGTCTAGCTTCTGTTTTTTCACTAGATTACTGTAAGGGCAGAGCAGTCAAAACATTTCCTGTGCCTGGACTCAGCCTGGATAGACTAGAATGTTTTTACAAATAGTGCTTCTAGGCTTGCCTTGTAGTCAGAAATTGGTACGTCTTTTTTCTGTTCACAAAATTATTTGCAGGGCGCCAAGCAAGAAGAATCAGGCAACTCACGCTTAAGACCCTACCTCCTGGATAGGTTACAAGCAAAGGTTTTTAAAGGTGGGGTAAATTTCAGGAAAGCAGAAATTACAGGCAAGGTTGTGAATCCATACATGGAAGTTATACATTGGTTTGGCCTAAAAAAGGTGGCATATCTTGATGTGGGGGTTACAGTCCATAGGTGAATTCAAAGATTCTCCTGTCACATTTGGTTAAGGAAGCAAAGTTGTTTCTAAAAAGTTGGGGTTAGAAGAAAGGAATGTTAAGGTCTGGCTTGTGAGTGTGATTCTCTCCAGGTCCTTCAGGAAGAAATTTAGAACAAAGAATGGTGGTCAGAGTTTGGTCTTTAGTCCCCTCTTATCTGAAGTCTGTGTAACAACAGATGGTATTTTCTACTTGGTGGGGGTCCAGGTTTCTGAAAAACAACTTAGGGACATATGTTAAGATGTTATCTTTAGTTTTCATAGAAAAACATTTTATGTTAACTTTCTTGGCTATTGTTTTAAGCTATTATTATCTATTTATTGGGTTGCTCATTTATTGATAACTTCGTAAGACTTGCTAAGTGCCTGGGATTTCCCTTGAAGGAACTCAAGATTTTCTTTTATTTTCATGCTTGGAGAAGTCGTTCCAGGCCCCTAAGAGGGGCATTAGTAAAGCTTTGGGAAAATAGCAATCTCTGATTGGTCAACAACAGTGGCGGGCTAAATTAGTTCTAGAGTTGCAATATGTTATTTTAGCAATTGCATATAAAATTTGTCCCAGGTTACAACCAACAGTTTCAGCAGTCAGGCTTGCAGAGAATTACATCTCTGGAACAATATTATGAATCCTGAGTACTTATTCTCCCTGACCCTTCAACTGATTTATCTGGGTATGGCAAAAATGACCCAATGTGTATTGCTCAACTTTCACAGCTTCTAAGAGATCATTTGCTATTTTCCTATCTCTTTTTTTAGTCTATCCCCAAAAGATTGAGTACTTGGACCTGTAATATCTATCAAAGGTATCTCCCATTTGGCTTTAGCCATTCATTTACAGGTTTGGCCAGGTCTTAGTATAATGTGAATAAATTGGTAAAAATCAAGGAGTCCTGGATCTTGTGCTTCAGTGAGAATTCTAAATTCCTCAGCAAATTTCAGGGACGGGGGTGTTTCTTTGGGACAGGGAAACCTTTCACTATTGTTTTGAGCTCAAGATTTTGACCACAGTATAGAGGTGGTTAAAGAAGCAGGCTTGTTTGATCTGAGGGCCTAACTTTATAAAGTATATACTTTTTAAATTCAGGCTGGGAAGGTAAGAAAGTGAAAAGGTTATCAGATTCAGAGTAGGTAGAGAGGGATAAAGAGAAAGAGTGAAAGACAGTTAGTAAAAGAATCTTTTCTTTTTAATTCATCAATTAGTTGTTTAAGCTTCTCATTTGCCTTTGGTAATTATTCTTCCATAGAAACAATTTTTGATTCCTTTAGTCTTTTAGAAGCCTCTTTATACCAACTACAAATGCATCCCATTATTTCTGAGATGTTTGGAATCCCTCTCTTTTGTTCCCCAATGTGTCCCATAGATAAACAGTTTTGTTTATGTTCAAACATCCCAATTGTGGCTACCAAAACTCTAAATTATTTTTGGTGAGTTTCACCCTTTCTCTAGAAAAGGACAGGTTCCAAGATAGAGGAGTCCCAGACTCCTTGGATTCAGGTGAACTCTCTGTTCCTTGTCTTCTCATAACCTCATCCACTGGAGGTCTCCCTATTGGGCAGTCACGTTTTTGTGAAACCCCGTTTGATATCTAAGGTGTCCCTGTTGGATTTAGTCCAATTATGTGATGCCTTCCAAACCTGGTCTGGATCAAAAACAACCTAGGAGAACTTGACCCTAGTTATGGAGCTCATATCCAAGAGGTACTTACTGGTGGTGACCTCCAAACACTCAGTGACTCAACAGGGTACTTAAACCTTTTTATGTGTTAAACCCAGAGGTTATCATCATCAAGGGTCTTCTTTAGATCCCACTTCTGACCCTTAATCTGTTAAAAGAAAAAAACTTTAGACAAACTCAATTCTTTAGACAAAACTTTAGACAAACTAAATTCATTCATGAACCAGATGAGGTTTGGAGAGCTCCACTCTACAACGCTGGCAGTGAATATTTATAGATAGAACATGGAAGTCAAGTACAGAAATGCCTTGATTGGTTACAGCTAAGTGTTTGCTTTGTCAGGGCATGGTCTGATCAGTTGGCTGCCTGTGACTGTCTAAAGCCAATCAAAATACATACCATTGTTTCTGAGATGTTTGGATTCTCTCTCTTTTTTTCCCCCAATGTGCCTCATAGATTTGACTTGAGATATGACCATCTATTACCAATTTAAAAAATACTCTTAAGTTAGGTTTTGGTTTGTTTATGCACTAAGTTAGGATGCATTTTATTATGTAGGAACTCAAAGTGCAAAGACAGTACCAGGTAAATTTAATTTAATAGAGTATAGTATTTTTCTTTTTGTATATCTGCTATGATATACAGTAATGTATATCTTCTATGAGCTATGATAAACAGGGTAGTATTTTTCTTTATATATATACCTGTCTTATATTTCATGTCCTACTATCTACGTGGTGAATCTTTTTAAATAGATTTTTTTTAATACTTCTATACTTCTTCATACTATGTATAGTACTAAATTTGTAGTAAGTACTCTAAAGTACCCATTGATTTCGGTTGAATTTTTATCAGTTTATACATCATCTATCCATGTTTTCATGAAGTAAGGAACAGGAAGGAATTATATAGTGGAAAGAATACCAAAATTGGAAAAATGTTAAAGTTTCTAACTCAGATGTTCATGAAGTGACTTCATTTTTGGTATATAATTTTGTACTAATATTACTTACATTTAAATATGTGTGTTTAAAAACATGCAGACATGTGCTATGTAATGACATTTTGGCCAATGACGGACCACATATTTGACACATAAGATTATAATACAGTATTTTTATTGTAGCTTTTCTATGCTTAGAAACATAAATACTTACTACTGTGTGATAGTTGCCAACAATATTCATTACAGTAACATGCTGTACAGGTTTGTAGCCCAGGAGTAATAGGTTATACCATTTAGGTTTGTGTAAGTACATTCTATGATGTCTGCACAATGATGAAATCACCCAACAACACATTTCTCAGAATGTATCCCCTTCATTAAGTGACGCCTGACTATATCTGTGTTTAATTTACATGTAAGTGGAAATATGTTTATTTTGAAGCAGAAAGTGTAGGTAATTTAACATTTTTGTTTTATCTTGAATTTCACTTAAATATTCTAGCTAACTGAGATAATTATGTGGAAAATTTTGCTAGTAAAAGAAAACAAACTTTTTGGATGTTTGTAATGTTAAATAAACTGTTTTTTAGTCTTGTTTTTCTTTTTTAAAGATACTTATGACTTGGAGCCTGCATCTGAATTAGGAGAAGATCTATTGAAGCTTTATGTGAAACCTTGTTGTCCAGATATTGATATTTTTGTTGATGGAAAACATTTTAAAGCTCACAGGTAAACAGACATGATTGATTTGGTGTCTTGGTTGTGACAGTAAAATGTAGAAGGGTGGCTGTCTTTTCCTTTTTTTTGTTTTGTTTTATATTTTATTTTCAAGATGTGGAGTACAAGTCAGGATTAGGCACATAAGTGATTTGCGTACAGGTGAAGTTTGGGCCTCAAATTGGTCCTCACTTTGCCTGGCTTAGGATCAGGAACCCTTATTGATGTTGTTTCCCACCCCCCACTCCTCTGGCAGTGTCCCACTACTGCCAATCCCTTTCTTGTTTTATGATAAATGTTCAGGGTCCACTTATGAGTGAGAACATGTGGCACTCCGTTCTTTGTTTCTGTAATAGATCACTGAGTCTGATAGACTCTAAATCCATCCAAGTTTCTGTGAAATCCATAGTTTTGTCCTTCTTTATGGCTGTGTAATAGTCCATCATATATATATATATATATATATATATATATCTCCCACATTTTTTTGTCCATTCCACTTTTGATGGGCAGCACAGTTGGTTTCGTGTTTTTACTATGGTGAGTGGCTGTCTTTTTTAACACGGTGGTTTTCAAATTCTGATTCATGTGAAGACCACAAAGATTCATGATGATGAATGTCTGGCAGAAGAAGAGGTTGGCTATCAGGCAGGGTTTCCTGCCTAGGGGTTCACACAGCGCACATGGGCCCACCCGGACAATGTGCATGTACATGTTTCAACCGGATCAGATCTCTTCTTATCTCCTTATCTCTGACTTGTGTTGGGCACGAACCTAAGATTTCATTTGAAGAAAATGTTCTGCTGCCTAAAATAGGTTTGAAAGCCACTGTCACAGAAAATGTAGTTAAATGCAGTTTTTAATTTTATAGGCATTGTCGTATTGAGAAGTATTATTTATACACGACTGACATGTATTTTCTCTCAGTGCATTTTGGCTCAAATTCTGTGATTCAAAATAGATGATACTCATGAATAGCATTGATTAGGAGGTTTAATATTTCAGTGTACTTTTTAAAAACCATTGTTCTGCTTTAGAATTGAGTTGTTTCGACATCCCAGGCTTTTAGATTTCAAATTAAAGCCTGCTGCCTGTGTTGGTCAGGCTCTTTTGATTGCAAGTAACTAAAATCTACTTAAAAGAAGAAAAAAGTTTAATAAGAAGTACGTATTATCTCTTGGAATTCAAGGGAAAGAAGCACAGCTGGGTCTCACTGTGGACTGGAATCAGAGCCAGAAAGCCGAGGAACCCAGACAGTTCTTCCCTCTCTTTGTGTTCCAAGTAAAATGTTTCTTTTCTTTTTCTTTTTCTTTTTTTTCTTTTCTCTTCTCTCTCTTTCTCCTTTTTTTTCCTCCTGTGGAGATGAGGTCTTGTTATGTTACTGGCTTCTGCACTCAGTCCCAAATAGAATGCTGATAAGAAGTTATTCTGGTGTTCCTGAATAGGAAAAACCAGATTATTTGTAGTGACAAGAAGCAGTCTTCTAGGTTCAAGTAAAAAGTCCTTAATGAAATTAGCCATGGGTTTAGGTTCAGGAATATACCAAAGCAAACAGTGGTGATATTTGTAATCTCAGAAATCACAGTGGTTTTGCCAGTTAATTGACAACGATACATTGCCAAACTCTAGGATTGCCAACTTGAGCCAGACTTTGTACTATTCAGAATTTGAGCTCTTCTCTCTGAGAACGTGTACTTTGTAAATATACATATACATATTTTCTTAATTCTTCTGAAATCGGCATTAAGTATTGTAGTATTCAGAATGTAATATAGATTGATCATTATGTTTTCCATATCATGGGTATATATTTCCTAAATCATGGTATGGCTATCTGTCTGCCTGCCTGCCTTCCTTTTTTTGGTCAACATAATTTTATTTTACAAATTAATTTAATCCTGTGTCCAGGTTTTTCTTGAGACCATATGGGCATCCAACCAAGTCTCTACTTGTAGAGCCCTTATGGTGTCGCCGTCCTGCAGAGAAAAAGGACCCCGTGACCATTTGCAGTATGTCCCCAAGCAGTGTTTAGATGTGGCCTGTTCCTGTGTGCTGCCTGACAGTGGTCTAACAGGACTATGTTTTAGGAGCTGGGTCTAGAATGTTTGGCTTGTATTCTAGGACAGTTCTTGCCCACATTTCTGGTTTATTTTGTTCACCCAGCAATAAAAAAAGAAATTCATCTTAACTAGAAAGGCAGTTTCCTGATAATATGTTTCAAGATTTCAGTTTTCCTACTTTGACATCCTTGTATGAATTAGCATAGCAGTTTCTACATCACAAGGTTGCCTTTCTAGTCCAGACTCCAATATCTATGTTTAGTACTAATTTTATTATGCAACTCAAGGAATATTATGTCGGTAGTTTAGAAAATACATATTCATAAAAGGCCTACATATTCATCTAAAGTCCAACATTGAGACTTTCTAAGTTGCTTCTTGTTCTCGATAAACATTGTCAGCAATTCTCCCAGTTGTGTGGCTTAAAATCCCTTTGCAACATGGCTGAGTTTTATTTGTTTGTTTGTTTGCTTGTTTTTTGAGTCAGAGTCTCGTTCTGTCAGCCAGGCCGGAGTGCAGTGACACGCTGCTCATGGCCACCACAGTCTCGACCTGCTGAACTCAGGTGATCCTTTCACTTCAGCCTTCCAAGTAGCTGGAACTACAGGCATGCACCACCACACCCAGCTAATTTTTGATTTTTTGAAGAGATGAGGTCTCATCATGTTGCCCAGGCTGGTCTTGAACCCATGGGCTCGGGCAATCCTCTCGTCTCTGCCTCCCAAAGTGCTGAGATTACAGACATGAGTCACCATGCCTGGCTAACATGGTTATTTTAACTTTTTAATTATATGTACTCATATACTGAACCATCAATGCAAGGACTTACAAAGGATCAAGATTTATTATTGAAATTGCACTCAGTTTAGGTCTTAACATTTAAAACAGTTTAGTTTGCTAGTTTAACATGTTCAAATTGGTATGGCTTTCTGTTGAGTTAATCTTTCTCAAAAACATCTCTGATCACATAGTTCTTTCAAGATTGTCTCTCCAGTTGCTGTATCCATTCTTGACCATGACCCTCAGCCCAGTGCCGGGAGCACTTTGTATGTTGAAAGATAGTCTGGTGCCAGTCACTTGCTTGTGGTGGCACAACTAAGCCAAAGAAGTAATTTGTCATAGAGTGGTCAAGAGTATGTGGTCTGTGAAGCCAATTTTTGTTGTTGTTGTTGTTCAGACAGGTTTTCACTCTGTTGCCCAGTTTGTAGTACTGTGGTACAACCATAGTTCACTGCAGCCTTAAACTCTGGGGCTCAAACAATCTTCTTGAGTAGCTAGGATTGCAGGTGGTTACCACCACACTTGGCTGAGTTTTAAATTTTTGTATAGGTGGGGTCTTGCTGTGTTACCTAGGCTAGTCTCAAACTCCTGGCCTCAAACAGTCCTCCCACTTCAGCCTCCCAAAGAGGTGTGATTACAAATGTGAGCCATCAGGCTTTACCCTGTCTGGGTTTTAATTCCAGTTCCACCATCACTAGCTGTGTGAATTTGGACAAGTCGTTTAACCGTTTATTCTGTGTTTTGGCATCCTCATCAAAGATGGGGATTATAACAGTACCCATCTCATAGGGTGATTGTGAGGATTAAATTATAGCAGTGTACCATATAATGATGTTTTGGTCATGACAGACTGCATATACAATGCTGATCCTGTAAGATTATAATGGAGCTGAAAAATTCTTATCACGTGGGGACGTCATAGCCGTCCTAATGTCCTAACTCAGTGCATTACTTTATGTTTATATGTTTGGATACACAGATATTTAACAAAGTGTCACAGTTCCCACAGTATTCAGTTAAGTTATGTGCTGTACAGTTTGTAGCCTATCTACAATAGGCTATACCATATAGCCTAGGTGTGTAGTAGGCTGTACCATCTAGGTTTATGTAAGCACACTCTGTGATATTCACAATGAAATACCTAATGACGCATTTCTTAGAACATGGTATAGCCCCATTATTAAGTGACTCATGCCTGCACTTATTACTTTTAAAGTACTTTGGAGACAGTTTGTTTTAGTATAGGGTAGATGTAGCTAGATACGTGTTTTTGAAGGCAGTTTTAAAACAGTGAAGTGTTTAGACATTTTTAATTGATACACGATCTTCACCTGACCAGCCAGGCACACTTTTAATTGATACATGATCTTCACCTGACCACTTTGCAGGCTGGAATGTGACTTTACCAGTGCAGCAAATCACAGGAACAATAGAGGATTACCCAAAACACAGACATGATGTTTTAAGAAAAGCCAAAATCCAGTTAGGCAATAACTCTAATTATTTAGAAGGTCCTGTGTCCTTAGAAAGTTGAGAGATGTTAATCAAACCTCGTGTATCTGCAGCCCACCACCTTAGCTCATCCAAGTTGAGAGATCAAAACTCGTGACCAAATACCTGCAGCTCACCACTCTTAAGCTAGTCCATGGTTAGCTTAAGTAATCAATGTAAAAGTATACAAAGCTTGTCAAAGGCAAGTGTGTGGTCTTTCTTCCAAGACACACATACGTCTGACGTGTCTTTCTTTCTCTCTCTCTAATAAATTCTGTTTTTAAACTATACCGGCTGCTCTGAAATTCCTTTCAGTAGTGGGCCAAAAAACAGGCAAGTGTGTGGTCTTTCTTCCAAGACACACATACGTCTGACGTGCCTTTCTCTCTCTCTCTGTAATAAATTCTGTTTTTAAACTATACCGGCCGCTCTGAAATTCCTTTCAGTAGTGGGCCAAAAAACTTATGGAGCATTACACCACTCCCCACCCCACAACACTTTGAAGAGTACCTGGCACATAAATAAGTATTGTATGTATTTGCTATCATCATCATCATTATCATCCAGGTGACAGGCCTTTGATACAAGCTTTTTTTTTTTTTTTTGAGTTGGAGTCTCACTCAGTCGCCCAGACTGGAGTGCAGTGGCACACTTGTGGCCACCGCAGCCTTGACCTGCTGG